TATATAAGTCTGCTACCACTCCATCAATCTCTTTAATAATGTGTCATTTCTGTTGTTGCCCTTCCTTGCATGAGTTCAAATTGGTTCTAAAAAATAGCAGTCTCGAATCAACCGTGCTTATAACTCTTTCTCACAATTTTATTGTACAACTCAAAAGTATATATGAATTGAAGTGTTTCTCCTCCATTTACCATACGTATTCTGGATAATAAAATCTTATTAATAACTTAGTTATCCACAACACATCAAAGGATGTTGTTGGTCCAATGTTTTGCCCCTTTCTTAAGAGCATTGTAATCTCGTTACCATGAATCCTAGCTACAATAACGCCAAATTTTGTTCACATTTTCTAGTTATCAATCCTCCAACTCACACTCACTTAATAGATCCACATCCAATACATTTTTAATGTAATGAAAATAAATGTTATATTTTAAACGATTAAAACAGCTATTTCTACACCTGTATTGACTTATATGTGTGTTTGTGTAATCTGTCTAGTTATATGTTGAAGACTCACTTTGCAGTAAGTACTCCCTCACGAGAATGGTGGAACAAGAACACTATGCTATAAGAAAAAAATGAAAAACAAAATAATTACAATTATGCTGGAAAAACAATTTTGGACCCACAAAAACATAAGAAATACTTAGGTAGACTGAGTGTACTACTTCATTTGTGATCTATCTAATAAAAACATGACATTTATATAGTATTAAATATAAGTTTATTATGATATTAATGATAATAGAGTCAAACTTGCATTCTGTTATAAAATAAAATCAATAAAAAATATCACATAATATTTTATTTAATTATTTAGATATTTTAAATTGGACAGATTGCAAATAATGTGGGTGCGTTGGTCTATCTAAGTATTTCTCCTCAAGCACAAAGTGATTAGATTTGAGCCAATTTCTAATATAATTAAACAAACTGGCTTTGATCAAATCAATTTCCTTCTTCCGAAACATGCAAACTAATGATTATTAGCTACTAATTATTTGGGGTCAAGGATAATTATGATTAGGTTTCAATTAGGGGATTTATTTTACAAGTAAGTCGCATAAATTTGTGAAGATACTCTCAATGAGACTTAGCTATAATTAATTTACAATGTAAAATAACACAAACATTCTTGAATTTATATCTCCCTGTTTGTATACTTGACCAGTGTGGAATAGGTTTGTAAAAAAAATCATTTTTATTAAAATATTAATACTTTAATTTTCCTACGTCAAACATTACACATTAGCAAGTTAATATTTTAATATTTATAGGTGAAACTTCTTTATTTACTGGTCAAATTAAATTTTCAAATTCACAAGTTATACTTCATAAATTTTATAAATAAGTCTTAAAAAATATTAAAGCGTTAAAATTTATAAGTTAATATCTTAAATTTACAAGCCAACTAGAATTTAGATTATTTTGCATTGGTGTTCAAATTTTATAAATTGAGGTACGATAGCAAAATCGTTTTTCACTTTATTAAGTCTGTAAATTTCTATATATCGACTAATAAATTTAAAAAGATGTCTTATAAATTTTAAAAGTTTTCCTTGTGACATGTAAATTTAAGATATTAACTTGTTATTTTTAAAGTATTAATTCTCATTTAATGTAAATTATGCCTAGTGAGGGAGAATATCTTTTTGTTTTGCTTTTCTTGCCTAATCTTCTTTCTTTCATATTTTCTTCTCAAAGTACAAACAAATATTTTAAAGTCTTTTTACAGCTCCTAATATAAATCTTCTTGAATCCTCCTAAAAAAATACAGGTTTAAACAAATTCAATTTTTTCCAAGCTTATATAAGTGTAGCTTAAAAATCCTTTTATAGTAAAAACCTCTAATTTTCAAAATCTGAATATGAAAAAAAAAGCTTAAAAAAGTAGCCTCATGAACTCCACCATATTCCCCACTTTATATGTACCATTAAATCATTAATTTTGTTTGAAAATAAAATAATTTTTTTGTTTTACTCATATTTAAATGTCAAAATTTTCATATTTGCATTTCATTTTCTCCTATAGTTAGTGACTTTAAATTAGGATAATATTAAAAAAACCTTAATTAACACCCCATCTAATTGGTTTGGCAGATCTAATTTGTAATTTGTAGCATATCAGGAAATTCGTTTTTGGTCCATAGCATTTCGGTCAAAAAGCCTTTAATTATATAAATTTTTAACATATTACTTGTTTGTATGCTTAATTTTTAAAACCAAATGTAAAAAGAACAAGAAAAACTAGTTGAATTGCAGAAAGACCCATCACGCTGGCGGGTCAGATGTTTTTGGAGGAGGAAGGAGTTGATTATTATTTTATTTTTCTTATACAAAACAACTTTATCAGTTACATAGCAAAACAAAATTGACATAACTTTTACATTTTTCATGAGAAGAAAAAAATCAACCGTGGGTTGTGGATGGTAGTAAAAGAGAAGGAGCAGTCACTCAAACAAAAATTATACATATTTTATTTTTAATTTTGTATAATATAAATTAACGATCAACGCTGTCATTGTATCATTATTATTACTTAATTTTTTGGCTAACAGTATTATTATTTAAGGATGAATATCTTTTGACAAATTGCAAAATATAATTATTAAGAAAGCATTTCAATTGGGGTGATCATCTATTAGACAGTTAACAGTGGACCAAATGATTTTTATTTTTTAGTGCTCTTCATCCACGGCGTGATTGTATTTTGATTCATTTCCGAAACTATCAAATGAACTTAGGAGTTTCATGGATATGTCAGATAAAATTAATTAATATGATTATTTCAATCATGTATTAATTAATGCTTCTCTAATCCATCTGAGACGTGTTATTTATTATTTCTTTTTCATCATCATCATGAAGCCAAGCATCAAACTATATAACTGTAACTAAACTTCACCGTCCACAACACATACGTATACTTTCTTGATTTAAGTAACTGCAAGTTAATTAAAGACGTGCGATTTGTATCGAAAGGAAAACATAAAAGCACAATAATCAGGATATGCATGGTGATCAACTTGCTATATCAGATATGAATTACTGAAGCATTAATTTTGGACCATACACCATTATATTTCTGGTCTATATGATATATCAAAAACTGGGACGCTTAATGAGAAGTTTTAAAAATTAAAAAACAAAAAAAAAAAAAAGAAAAGAAAGAGCAGTAACTAAAATCCACAAGATAAACCCTAATGATCCCTTCGCCAGACAAAAAGACATAAAAGAGCAAGAAAACATAAGAACGTGGTAACTCGAGGAAACGCATCATATAGCCAAAGAAGGATCTGAAGAAGGATCTGCATCGTTGTTACTTCTATGACAATTTCACGCAGCCATGCAAACTCAGCCCTCACCGTCGTCATCGTCATCTTCTTCTTCTTCTTCTTGCCTTCTTCCTCAGCAGCAATAACCAGCTCTTTGGTTCTTTCAGCTTCGTCTTCTTCCTCTCTCACAGTAGTCTCATCTGCAAGCTCTCTTGTTCTTTCTGATGATTCTTGTTCTTTCACAGGTTCATCTTTAAGCTCTCTGGTTCTTTCAGCTTCATCTTCTTCCTCTCTCACAGTCTCATCTGTAAGTTCTCTTGTTCTTTCCGCTTCTTGTTCTTTCTCAGGCTCATCAGTGAGCCCTCTTGATCTTTCTGCTTCTTCTTCTTCTCCTCCTCTTTCCACAGGCTCGTCAGTAAGCCCTCTTGTTCTTTCTTGTTCTTCTTCTTCTTCTTCTCTACAGTCTCATCTGTAAGCCCTCTTGTTCTTTCTGGTTCTTGTTCTTCTTCTTCTTGTCCCACAGGATCATCGTGCTTTTCTTCAAACTTGACAGAGCTCTTGGATGGTGAGACATTCTTGTTTTCAGATGAAACAGTTGGCTTCTTGTTGTTTGAATTGTCACTGATGGAATCAGAAGCCAAGTCTCCTGATGAGAACTTTTCGCTCTTTCTGTTGTGTTTCTTTCTGGACCTGGACGACGATGAAGATGATGGGATCTCCATTTTGAAATCTAAATAGATAATATTTGAACGAAGAGATCACTCAGAAAACTACTAAAGAAGGCGATCGAGTGAGCAAGCTGAGTGAGAAATTGAGGTTTATATAACATGATGATAAAGGAGGTAGATGATCAGTTTCAGTTACAGTTTGAATAAATCTGTTTTTTTTTTTCTTTTTCTTTTAAAGAAATATTACTAATCTCCTCAAACAAAACAAGAAATTAGAAATGATACTAACCGTTCTGAGGACTAAGGCCATGAAAAGTTATCTTTGATTTTGTTTAAAACTGTTTTTATGTTTTTAAAAATAAAAAAATTCGGTTAGGTAATGTTTCGAATTTAAATATTTTCAAAACTGTTATATTTTTATTTTTGAAAATAAAAAATATTAATATTTTAATATTTTATTTTTATTTTTTTTTTGAAAGCACATCACATTTGATTATTCAAAATTATCATAAGCTATAAAATTATTATCTTATGCGACCACTAATAATCACTAGCAATCATTACTATAGGTTGATTTCTTTAATTCTAAAATTATTTTTAATTAATATTATTAAACATATTTTTCTTTGAATTGACTCTGAAAAATAATTCTAAAAATTGTATTACGTAATACTATCTATTAAAAAAATGGGACGCCATCAAACAGGCATTCTCTTTGTTCCTTTCTCTTGGTTCTTTTTTTTTTTTTTTTAGGACCTCTTTTCCGGGCCACACGATTCCAGCCCAATCATTGGGAATCTATGCTGAGATGAAAGTTGAAACACCCGATCCCAGTGCCCTACATATTATTAATCTTCCGAATAACATTTTTTATTTATTAAAAACATTAATTATTCAGTCTCTATAGTTTTAATTCAGTTATAACTCAATTTTTAAACTTTACCTCTTACAATTCAATCTTTATAATTTCAATCATTTAAATATTACTCCCTATTTTTTTAAAAAATAAAATTATAAAAATTAAAAATATTTTGAATCTTTAATATTTATAATATTTAAAGATTAAAATATTAAATTTAAAATATTTTGAAATTTTAATATTTATAATATTAGTGGTAAAATTATAAAGATTAAAATTATGTTAAAATTTATTACTAATATTTAAATTATTAAACCCTTTTAATGTTTATAAGTATTATAAATATTCAAAGTTCAAAATGTTTTCAGTTTTTATAATTTTATTTTTTAAAATAGAGGAATCAATATTTAAGTGGTTGAAACTATAGGGGCTAAATTGTAAGAAAAAGTTCAGAAATTAACTTACAACTGAATTAAAACTATAAAGATTAAGCTATAACAAGTCAAAGTTTAGGTATTAAATTGTAATTGAGTCAAAATTATAGGGATTAAGTAATAATTTTTTCATATTCATTTGACTCATTGAAGCTTTAGCAAATAAAATGAGATCATCAACCACCGAAAATAGATGAGAAAGAAGATATCATTACTTACAAGCAACCTGTAATTTTCCCCATGGTATATATCATTCAATACAAATTAACTTTCAAGTTATAATGAATCTTAATTGTCATCAAATGTACATTGCAGTATTATCTAGATTATGTTACACCTCATTTTGAGGATAAGCACACTAATGAAATCATTGAAAAGTGAAGTGAATATACATGTGAAAAGTAGGTCATGTCCAATATGAGATGATAATATATATTCCCTTTATTAAAAAATATAAGATATTTTTAACCAAATCTTATCCCCCAATAAAAGTAGTTACCTACTTTCAAACTATCTCTATCTTTCCATGTTTATCTTATTAAACATCCTACAATAAATATAAAGTCATTCATCAATATAGGCACTTAAAAAAAAAAAAGCAATGATTATACCTCAAAAGACTAAAAATATCTTACATTTTTTAACATTCAACTCCTCAAAAAATGCCTTATATTTTTATTGGAGGGAGTAATTAGTTAGTTTAAGAATAATTTAGTTTAGTTGACTATATAATTTATATATTTTAGAGATAATTTGTTTAGTTCAAATGATTATCTTTTATCATCAAATAATTGTGAATAGAATAGTTTTGATGTTAATAAATTGTAAACATTGTAGTTTATTGTGGGTAATGTAGACAAGATTTCAGGATTTTCTGTTCATTTTGTATATGTATATTTGCTTTGTATTAGAAGTTCCCGATTTCTTTTTTTTTTTTTTAAAAAAAAGTGGGTTGTATAAGATGGTTATGGTCATAACCATCCTATATGGCCTGAGAGGTTTTAAATTTGGTTGCACTATATAAAATGATTCTATAACCATCCTATATAGCTTTTACAATGCAAAACGGTGTAATAGAGGACAATTGTCAACCATTTTTTATTGAGCAAAACAATCATCTTTTATAGCCATATCTGTTGTAGTGATATAATGGATAAAAGCATGACAATCGCCTTTGGGCTTTTGACCTTGTGGTTGCTTTTTTCCGTCTTTTTCGTTTTGGTATGATGTATTTTGAACCAATTTGGCCTCTGGTGCCTTTTTCCTTCAATGGAACCTCATTTTGGTTTTTTTTTTTAAAAACCGTATTTTAATTTATCTCAGGTAAAGGGAATAGAATGTGGTCGCGGAGCCATGCCGTCATGTAGTGTTGGTTTCTGCTTCTCATTCTTCAAAGCACGGATTATTCTATGTGATATACTCTGGCTTTTTAAAAAATAAAAAAATAAATTTTAACACAATTTTAATCTTTATAATTTTATTTTTTAAGATGCAGGAATTAATATCTAAATGATTAAAAATATAAAGATAGAGTTGTAAGAGTTAAAATTTAGGAATTGAGTTACAATCGAATCAAAATTTTAGGAAATGAATTATAATGAGTCAAAGTTTAAAGATTGAATTATAATTGAATCAAAATCATAATGACTAAATAATTAATTTTTTAAATAAAAAATAAATAAAATAAAAGAGAAGGAGAAGAAGCCCACTGGTGGTTTCTTTCTTAAAGTCGAAAGCTCAAAACCAGACTTTGATGATGTTAAATTCTTCTCCGTGTTTACTATGTTATCTTTCATGCTGGTGGTTTCATGAAGCAAAAGGGCATTTCGGGCTTATTTGGTGACCTGAGCATAATTTTTTGTTCCCTAGAATAGAAAAATAAAAAAATTGTTTACTAATATATTTTCACAAAATATTTTGGAGATAAAAAAATCAAATATTATTTTAAAGAATTGAAAATTCAAAACATTTTTAAATGTTCTAAAATTATTATTTTAAAAAATAAAAAGGATATAAAAAATACTTGTGTCTCATTATTTTTTATTTCCGAAACATGTTCTATAAAATATTAATTTTTAAAATAATAAAATAAAAATAGTTTGAAAATTTGAAAGTCATGAGGCTAAGAAGTACACAGATAGTGTGGGCCCATCTTGCATGTGCATTTTCGGCCTATAATGTTTTTTTTTTAAATATATATTTTGGTCCTACACTTTGCTCGTGTTTTGTTATAAGTCTCTGCACTTTTTTTGTATTTTAGGTCTCTACACCTTCATTTTTTGGTATTTTACGTTCATCCAAAGTCCCTATACTTTGTTCATTTTGTTTATTTTAGGAACCTAGAACACTAAAAAAATGAAAGTATAGGGACTCAGAACACCTAAAAAAGTGTAGGGACCTATAAAAAAATATGAGCAAAGTGCATGGATTAAAAAATATATTTTTTTATAAGCTTTATTTGGGCCAAAGAGAATAGTCTAACTATTTTTTTTTGGGAGAATTTCAATTAAGGATCATGGATGAGATTTAATTATTAGTAGATTCCAAAAATTTTTTGAAACTTCAATTTAGTCTGGGGGATTAAAATAGAAATAATTTCAATTGTGAAAGGACTAAAGTACCCTTTACTTGTTATGCAGAATCATTAGTTCTCACTTCACTTATTAATTTATTAATATGAATTGTAAATTATACAAGATTTAACATCAGTTATTTAATCACAAACAACAATAGCAATTGTTAAATTGCTAACTTTACTTATTAGTTTCTAATATCAATTGTGAATTATTGACATGTATTATAATTTAAAATTGATATTAGTAATTAATATGTAAAGTTAGCAAATTAATAATTGATGTTGCTGCTTGTCTAACAAACATATACAATTTACAACTCATATTGATAAATTAACAAGTAAAATAAGAAAATTAATAAATAATAATTTTACATAATAAATGAATAGTACTTTGATATTTTTATTATTGAAATTATTTCCGTTTCAATCTCCTTGGACTGCACTGAAATTTTAAAAATTTTTGGAACCCACTACTAATTAAATCCCTCTCATGGTCTTTGGTTGAAATTCTACCATTTTTCTTTGGTAATTCTTTGTAATCGTTTCTTTTTCTATGTTTTAATGAAATATGCTACTTCTTAAAAAAAAATAGAGAATTTTTTAAGTAAATCAGGTGCACCATATTATTTGTGGTTTGTCTAATTGAAATGCTCAAAGTTATCTAAATAAAATCTTACGTGACATTATTTAACTAATTTTATTCTTATAATAAAACACATAATTAATTTATTTTCTTTTTTCTCTTTATCATTAATATTAGAATCAATTTATATTTAATACTATCTAAATGTTATGTTTTTATTGTATAGATTGCAAATGATGTGGTGTACAATCTAAAAATTTCTCAAAAAAGTAATAAAGATCCACATCTAGGACAATTTAATGTAATAAAAATTAAATTTTATATTTTAACAATTACAATATCTATTTATATATGTTGTAGATTCTCTTTGTGGTGTAAGTACTGCCTTATGAGAATGGATCACAGCATGGAAGCAAGAAAGATTGAATTTATATAATGGAGTGCAGTCTATGGCTCAAGCATATTAAAGGTACATAACACAATTCATTGCAACATATGATTATCGATCTATATTTATTTAGTCATATTATTTTGTTAACATATTACTTGTTTGCATGCCTAATTTTTAAATCCAAATGTAAAAAGAATAAGGAGAGCCAGTTGATTAATTGCATTCAAATTAATATTCTTGGGGGAGGAGAAAGAAGTTGATTATTATTTTATTTTTATTAGTTTATTAAAAAAAACAATTTTATCAATTATATCATAGCAAAACAAGATTGACGTAACTTTTAATTTACATTTTTCATGAGATATAGAGAAGAAGCAGTCATTCAAACGATAATTATACATATATTTTAATTTTAATTTTTTATAAAATAAATTAATAACGATCAACGTTTTCATTGTATTATTATTATTTAATGATGAATGATCTTCATCTCAATATATTCCACTGCGTGATTGTATCTTAATTCATTTCCGGAGCTATTCAGAAAAATGAACTTTAGAAGTTTCATGGATATGTCAGATAAGATTAGTTAATATGATTATTTCAATTATATATTAATTATTAATGCTTCTCTAATCCATGTGAGACGTGTTATCTGATTATTTACTTTTCATCATCATCATCATCATCATGAAGCCAAGCATGAAACTATAACTAAACTTCATTGTCCATCACGCATACTGACATAATACTTTCTTGCTTTAAGTAACTTCAAATTAATTAAAGAAGACGTACGATTTTTATATAAAGAAAAATATGAAAGCGCAATAATATGGATGCATGCATGGTGATCAAATTAATATATCAGAAATGAATTACTGAAGCATTAATTTTGGACCATACACCATTATTATATTTCTGGTGGTCTATCTGATATATCAAAACCAGGGAGGCTCAATGAGAAGTTAAAAAAAAAAAAAAAAGAAAGAAAGAAAGAAAAGAAAAGAAGAGTAGTAAAATACACGAGATAAACCGTAATAATCCCAAATCCGCCTGAAAGTCACAATAAGACAGAAAAGAATAAGATAACATGAGAAGAAGCAAACTCGAGAAGACACAAAAAATAGCTGGAGAAGGAGCTCAAGAAGGATCTGCAATGTTGCTATTTCTATGAGAATTTCATGCAACGATACAAACTCAGCCATCACCATCATTATCATCATCAGCATGTTCTCCTTCTTCTTCTTGCCTTCTTCTTCCTCAGCAGCAATAACCAGCTCTCTGGTTCTTTCAGCTTCGTCTTCTTCCTCTCTCAAAATAGTCTCATCTGTAAGCTGTCTGGTTCCTTCAGCTTCATCTTCTTCCTCTCTCACAGCATCCGCAAGCTCTCTAATTCTTTCTGATTCTTGTTCTTGAACAGTCTCATCTTTAAGCTCTCTGGTTCTTTCAGCTTCATCTTCTTCCTCTCTCACAGTCTCATCTGTAAGCACTCTTGGTCTCTCCGCTTCTTGTTCTTTCTCAAGCTCATCAGTAAGCCCTCTTGATCTTTCTGCTGCTTCTTCTTCTTCTCTTCCCACAGGCTCATCAGTAAGCCCTCTTGTTCTTTCTGGTTCTTCTCCTTCTTCTTCTCTTAGAGTGTCATCTGTAAGCTCTCTTTTTTTTCTGGTTCTTCTTCTATCACAGTCTCATCAGTAAGCCCTCTTGATCTTTCTGCTCCTCCTCCTCCTCCTCCCACAGGATCATCGTGCTTTTCTTCAAACTTGACGGAGATCTTCGATGCTGAGACATTCATTTCTTCAGATGAAACAGATGGCTTCTTGTTGTTTGAATTGTTGTCACTGATGGAATCAGAAGCGAAGTCTCCCGATGAGAACTTTTCGCTCTTTCTGTTATCTTTCTTTCTGGACTTGGACGACGATGAAGAAGATGGGGTCTCCATTTTGAAATGTAAATGGATAATATATGAACAAAAGAGATCACTCATAAAACTGCTAAATGAGAGAAGAAAAAGCAGAGGAACTGGAGAAGAAGGCGACTGAGTTAGTGTGGGGTTTATATAATATGGTGAAGGTGGATGATCAGTTACAGTTTGAAATTTTGAATGAATCTTTGTTTGTTTTTCTAATGAAGAAATGTTACTATTATGCTCAAACAAAACAAGAAATAATACTTATATTTAAAAATAAAAAATAAAAAAATTGTTTGGGTAAATGTTTTAGACGTGAATATTTCAAAAATATTCTTATTTTCATTTTTAAAAATTAAAATTAAAATATTTTAATATTTTAATTTTATTGTTTTTAGAAACTATTGTGTGTTATGATTAATTACTATTATAAGCTACTACTATTAATCATGGGCAATTATTATTATTGGCTGAATTTTTTAAATCTAAAAATATTTTTAAATTAACATAGTTAAACATATTTGTTGTCCTTAAAAACAATTCTAAAAATTGTGTTACAAAACAACATTTTTGTTAGTCAATGTTACAAAACATTTAAGAAAATACAAATAAAAAAAGGTCTATTACCTTTTTTCCCTTCTCTACCTTTTTTTTAAAAAAATTTAGACCTCTTTTTTGGGCCTCATAGTCCATTCTGGCCCAATCACTGAGAATCTATGTTTAGATGAAATACACACTTGATCTTAGTGCCTCACATATTATTAGTCTTTAGAATGATTGTTTATATGTATTTTGGGCAAAAAGGCAAATATATCTTGAAACTTTTTTTCAAATGTGCTTAGTATTTTAATTTTTTTTAAGAGCAATGTTGTCTTGAAACTTTTCAAAATGGTATAATGTTGTCTCATTGTTAACCTAGATTAACCATTGACCATTAAATTTGATATTTTGACCTAATTTTACATGTGTCATTCTTTAAGCCATTCTTCTTCTCAACACGGATTTTCTCCTTTTTAACCCACCATTACTACCATTCCTTGCCCATTCATCACTATCGCGAGTCCTCCACCTCTCACTTCTTCGTCTTTGTTTCATTTCAAGGTTGGAAGATAAAACGATCGTTCATCGAGAGACCAAGGGTCAGCTCCATCTCCTCCTCATCCACCTTGCTTGCCTCCTCCAACTTCGCCTTTACTAGCAAGCGATTCACAAACATGGATTCATGCAATTGCAATAGATTTTGCAGGAAATTACTACTCATTGGGGTGGGAATATGCCTCTTTTCTCCAGCCCCAACATCCAACATTGACACAACAAGGTCAGTGGATTAAAACAAACCTAGATGGCTATACAAATTACATGTGGGTTTTGGCAAAAACTTAAATAATTTGAGGATAATCTAGAGTTTGGACACATACCAAGAGATAACCAAAAAAACAAAGAAGAAAGAATACAAAAAGAGAAGATGGTGTAGAGCAGATGAAAAGACTAAAAGAGATCATGCAAGGTCAATGTTTGTGTAGTGTCGATCTGTCACTTACGTGAAACAAGGAGTGACATCTTGTGATTTAATATTTTTTTGTAATATTATCTTTTCGGGGGGACAGTTTCATAACTCACAGAGCATTCTATGATGCTTTGGCAGAAGAGAGTGCACGATCTGAAGTAAACCCATTAGTTCTTCTTCCCTTATCACAACCACACTTCAAACCAAATCAATCTGTTCTTCTATTGTGGGTGTCGTCGAGTTTGGATTTAGTTACGGAGATTCCTTGGGAATGGATCAATGTAGTAGAGAGAGGGAGAGAGGATGGGAAGAGGAATATTAGTTCTAGAGAGAATATAAAACAAGATAAACAGGCAAGTGACGTTCTCCAAGAGAAGGAATGGATTTTTAAAGAAAGCGTACAAGCTTTCTATGTTGTTCAATGCTGAGGTAGCTAGAGATAGAACATGCAGAGAGAGAGAGAGGAAAAATGAGGGGAAGGCTCAACATATGACACATGTAATATGATAGTCAAAATATCAAATTTAACATTCAACAGTTAGTCTAGGTAACATTGCATTGTTTTAAAAAATTTTAGGGTTACATTGCTCTAAAAAAGCAAAAAAAGTTTAGAATACCAAGTGTTCATGAAGGAAAAGTTTCAGGGCATTTTGCCCTTTCGCCCATGTTTTTTTTAAGTAAATTATTGATTTTAGTTTGATTGAAATGTGAAAAACGTGAAATTCCACATTAAATATATAAGCTCAATAATAATTAATTATATATTATCATTCATAAAATTCAAATTTTAATTTAGTTCCTAACAAGTTGTTCTTTAAATGTTAAAAATTACAAAGTTTATTTTTTTTTTGTCCTTTTATGTAACTTTTAATCCTTTTTGTGATTTTGTTATCCTTTTCTATAATTTTTAGAATTTTTTTCTATACTTTTTTGTCAACTAATAATAAAAATTAATGGTGGGGGAAGATTGCTATGATTTTAAAATGTTGAAGGGTGAGAATATACCAAAGACAAGTTTATAATCTTAGATGCTCTTGTGCTTACAGTTTAAGGATTAAATTGTTATTTTACCCTTAAAAAAAGAACTACAATTTATTGATCGGGCTTTTAATAAATTGGGTAGCAAATGACAATTAATTAAGTAAATTTCTTTTTATTATTTTGCAAAGGGTCAAAAATGTAATTTCACTAAAAATGTTTAGATAAGCCCCTCATTTTGTGGTCTCTTTTTGCCATTTAATTTGTCTATTTGGGTGTAATTTATTTATCACTGTCCCGATTTATAACTTGTGTATTTTCACACAAATTCTTTTGAAGAACTTAGTGACAACTCAATTTTTGGCCATTAATAAGTTATGTATAAATTATTAAAAATTATCTTTTGTTTTCTTTTCCTTAGAGGAATAAGAATTGAATTCAGCTTAAAAATAAACAAGGAAGTAGTTGTATGTTTATCACGTTTAATTTCTATATCCATCATTATTATATAATTATTAATTACTTTTGCTTTCAAGTTTCAGGTTTCATACATCTGAATCTTTCCTTTCAACAATGCCATTATAGTTGTTCTCTTTGGCCATTACATTTGTGAGAAAATATTTTTGATTGTGTTAGAGTAGTGGACAATTTGTTGATGTTCGGCCGTGCAAATCTGTAATGCTTCTTCTTGCAAATAATTTAAGTTCTCTTTATCAATCTAAGTAACAATTTCAATGTTCAATGCATGTGTTGGCTTAATTTTTAGGGAAGGCTGAGTGTCGTGACCCTTAAGGTATGCATCAGGTGTGCTAGAAGAGCAGGTCCTTGGAAGTATAAGTTGCAATCAGACGATCAAGTGGGTTCTCAAGGTCATTTACAAAAATTTTCTTGGAGACTCAAATATGTGTGAGAAATATAATAAAGAGTATGTCGTGTTGAGTGTAAAGCTCTATGGTATTATTGATGTTAATGAGTACAACTAGGTGCTCCATGAAGATAGAGAGGGAAACACAAATGCAAAAATAGCCTAGGAAGCCAAGCTTGCATAGAAAAAATAGTTTGTACTTGGTGAGATTGGTTGATGCAGGGAGATTAGTGTTTTGCCTTAGGCAAGTGTTGTGTGAATTTGTAGAGTGTCAAGAGACCTTTAGTTATGTGCTTGTTGCCTATTTATAGGAAATTTTAAGTTTTAGTGCCATCAATAGCAAATAACCATCCACACCGTCAAATTCCTATGGATGTTCTTTATCATTTGGAGTATTGAGTATAAGTGCATCGAGGAACTCAAGAGGTGGGCAATGTGGGTGTGACTCTATCAACCACCTTCTAAATACTTTGCTCTACTTATGCACATGGGGCTTGATTACTTGCTAGGTCACATTTGCTTCCAAGCCAATTTAGGCCTTATTGAATTTCCTTTCTTGGCCAATGCTCCTTTTTTATTCAAATAATGCCCCCTGCATGTGACATTTTGGTGCCAAGGGAGCAAAATGACTTGCAAGTCACGTATCGGGCTAGGATATGTGCTACAGTTAAATTGTACACCTTGCTGGCGTACTAGCTTCATTTCCCTAAGTGCTTCGTTTACTTAGGGTTGCAAAACACCATTTAAACCTTTGGAATTATTCGTCATTTCCTTTCACTTATTTCTTCACCTTCTCTTGATCTTTCGGTGATTACTTTCAGTGATTTTTAGAACTCACCTACATCCTTAGCTCATGTTGGATTTTTCTTTGCTATTTGATATTGGAATGTTCTTTACTCTCCTCAGGGTTTGTGAGCTCTAGGCTCTCTAATATTCTATGTCCACTTTAAGTAAGAATCCAAGACCACTTTTTCAAGATATTTGACTTGTGAGTCAAGTAACTTGAGCTTTCTGTTTGGGTCAATGTCTAAATTTGGGTATTTCCCTTTTCTTTCTTAAGAACAAGCCTCACTCATTTATGCTTACTAACCTGAGTAGCTTAATGTATCTATATCCCTACTTGGAGATAAAGTTGCTGGCTTACCTATTTCCTTTGACCCATCTTTAAGAGTGCTTCTTTTCTCAGATCATGGAGAAGCCCCCTACCTCATAAACTAAATATTGTCTTGAGAACAACAATAATAGCCACTCGGTGACAAGGGTGGAATACCTTTACCCCCACTTTACCTATCTTTAAGCAAAGCTAGGTATTTTGGACCTTACCAATCTAAGTTGCTCCTTGACCCCTTAAGATAGTTTTCTCATAAAAACCGTTGTGACTTTGGCCTAGGAAGCATTCTTGCTTCATCTTCCCCTTTGATACTCTAACTATCATGCTTAGCAACACGTTTCTTTTGACAGGTTTTCCTATTATTGATCACTTTTACTATTAGATATTGATTGTAGTGACAAACTCTTCCTAACATCCTTCAACTAAAGAAATCAACTAATAACTACAAGATATTCGAAACCTCATTTTTGGCTTGTGATAAACCCCTACCATCGAGAGTATGTCTACTTCTTATGGGCTTTAATGAGCAAGTATATTTTATCTCCTCAATGAACTGCAGAGTTTTTTCCCCT